CACAAAAACTATATTAAAGAGGTAGAATACTCAGGACTTAATCACAGAAATAGGTGAAAGATGCTCAGTTTCCTTTATTAAATGAGAATACAATTAAGACCTTTTATCCTTAAGTAGCTATTTAATATAAATAGAAAATAACTGTGATAAGTGTTAAATCACTGCATTGATGGTAGTTGTTTTTTATCTGAAAATAATGTAAGAGCAAAAAGGCAATGGTATCCTTCTGTCCTACCTCACATACACCAACAAACTAATGGCTGACGTATTTAACTAAAGTACCTGAAGATTAACTTGGCAAAGTAATCTTTAGAAAGCTAAAGAACAGAATAAACATATTCTCATTGGCTGAGGTAAAAAAGGGGTGCCAACTCTTTAATATTGATCTGACTTTTGAAATGGTTTAGACAGAAGTCCAATGCCACCTGGTCCCGTTGTGTTATGTCAACAGAGAGAGAGTAGATCTACTGGGTTGCCTCTGCAAAAGCATTCTAGTTCTACAGTACTGTTCCACTGCTTCCTGTGAAAACTCATGTCCTACAAAGAATAGCACAAATAGAATTGGAAATCTGCGAGCTTATTTCATTATTTCCAAAAGCCTACTAGAAAATAAACATTTTCTCAGGGCAAAGTTCAGAGTCACACTAGAATACCAGGTTCTTTTGCTCTTAGCTGGAATCATATTGTTTAGTTGGAATCATAATTGATGGTTAAGATTTTTGATCCATAAAAATAAGGAAAGAAATTATTACTTAAGAAATATGCTTTGTTTGGCATATAGCATCCTTTAAAATCTAGTGTCCAGGAAAAGGGAGAAGAATCAGAAATGAAACATTTTGCTTAGAAGAAGGGAAGCCATGCTTTGTAAGAGAATCCTCTTAGGTCAGCGCCTCCCACCACCACTCACAGTATGTTACTGTTACTGTTTCCACTGACTCAAATATGTAAACAACAGTTCTAATCCCAAAGATTCTACAAAATCTACCTGGCATCCCTTCCTTTAAAGAACTGCCATTCCCCTTACCTCACAGGTCTTGAGAGGGATTAGAATTTGCAGCACCTCTCCAATTCCCAAATATACTCTCTCATTATCACTCCCCTACATAAGTGTGTGATCCAAACTATGCCATCTGATTCTCCCTCCGCATACCTGATGTTTGAGCAAAGACACTTAAAGATGAGAAATTAATGAAGCTGAGACATCTAAGAGTAGAAAAGGCCAATGCCCGAGTCCCTGCTGCTAGGATCCCTGGAGCTGCCCTTGTTCTTGATCCTTCCTCAGCTACGCTTGTTTAGCTCTTCCTTACTTAATGCTTTTATTTTGTATAATAATTTGGCTGGTCTTTATCTTCAAGTCAATTTCTCTGATGACAGGAATATCTTTGTTATTCATGGTGGGCTCACAGGATCACATTTGAGTTCATGCTAGTGAGACGAGTCTGGATGGGTGCTAGTCACCACAAAGACCAATCAGTGACTAGAGGATTAGGGCTTTGAGCCAGGTGATATCAGCCTAATCTTCAGGGAGGAATAGGGAATAGCCAATGATTCAGTCAATCATGCTTACATAATAGGACCCCAATAAAAACTCTGCACACTGAAGCTCAGTTGAGCTTCCTGGTTAGCAAACATATTAATGATCGATGGGCCAGTAGGATGATATGTTCTAATTCCATAGGGAGAGGAAACAGAAGCTCCACATTCAAGACCATCCCAGAACCTCACCTTATCAGTCTCTTCTTTTGGCTGCTCCTAATTGTTAGCCTTTATAACAAAACTGTAATCATAAGTATAGCACTTTTCTGAGTTCTGTGAATCATTTAGCAAATTATCAAACATGAGGGGAAATGAAAAACCCATGATCCTGTAGCCAGTTGGTCAGAGTACAGTTGGCCTGGAAACACCCACAGCTTGTGGCTAGTTTGGTGTCTGAAGTAAGTGCAGTCTTTTGGGGGACTGTGCCCTTAACTTGTGAAGTAAACACCAATTCTGGGTGGTTAGTGACATAATCGTATTACATTATTTCACTTAATCATTCCTCTGACTCATTTTCCTCATCTGCTAGTAAATGGAGATAAGAAAACATACTAAATATTAAATCATAGTATTTACACTTCATAAGGTTTTTGTGAGAAATACATGAATTATTATATGTAAAGCACTCAGAACAGTGCCTAGCACATACCAAACACTACATAAATATTAAGGCAGTTTCTGAGTTGTTGTTTTTATTGTTAAAGTCCAGAGCTGGCTAATGTAGAGATCATCAGGCTTTTCCGCTAAAATCTAAATTACACAGAGAAAGACTGGCTCCCAACATTAGTCAGAAACCTTAACAACATTAATCACATAGATGGTACTGACGTTAGCCAGCTAATGTTCTGAACACAAATCAACACTGCTGATATCTACATTATCTAGTGAAACTCAGACCAGCCAGTATGAGCCAGCGCCAGAATATTACATGCTTTTCATAGCTCTGGAAATCATCACTCCAGAGAGATTAGGAGACTTGCTCTGAAAAATGAAGCAAATTGTTGGAAGGACTAGTATACAAGAAGATTCTCTCTTTTAGTATGTCAAACCACCAGGCATGACACATGGGTAGCAAATCCTAAAATTGTACATATATATCACTTCTCGGCCTAGCTGTGAGCTAGATCACTGTGCATTGTGTGGACCCCAAGAAAAACGATTTATTTGATGTGAACCCTGAGGAGTTTATCTGCTGACATGGACTCCCCATAGTCAAATGAGGGCCCGTATTTTATTAATAATAAGAGCCTAGCAGCTACTTGCTGACAGGGGCTTCTCGGGTACTCTGTAAGCTGGGAAGAATCTCAGACGGATCTCTTGGGTTCCCATACTTTGCCTTGCCTGTTTATGTGGTCTGAATCAGCCACTGCAGGGAAGTCCTGGTTTGTCTTTCTACCAACAGACTGAGATCTGCCCCATCCAACCAGAACTGCACAATTTGGGTACCTATTTACGTAAAAGGACTTAATTGGGAACCTGGGTGGGGAATTTTCACTATAAAAGGTGGCCTCCCCTTTGTCTCAGGAGAACACAATCTAGGTTGCTACCTGAATCTGTGTCTTTGGGATGTAGTTCCTTTTGCTGAAATAAATGCTTTTAATTCTTAATTACAGTCTAAAATTAATTCTGGTTTACAATTGAGATTTTTTTTTTCCTCATCAGTAATGGAAACCAACTCCTGAAAACACATTCCATTGTCTTCCATCTTCCTGTCATTTAGAATACACTTAGAAGTGTTCCAAATAGTTGCTAAGGCCAGCCATAAATAAAGTTCTTACCAGAAAATTGTCTTAGGTTGTTTTCTAGTATTATGATTTAGTCCCTCTGTTTCTGCCCTTTCTTGATCACTTTCTCTCCCCAGCTATTTCTGTGTGAACTTTCAGAGAAGGCGAGGAATGCTCTCCCTGCCATCTTTCATTCTAAGTCCCTACTTATGAAACCCACTCTTAAAATCCGGGCGCCATGTCTTCATGTTATTACATAAAAAAGAGTAAACTAAAATTAAATGGTACTAATAGAAGAATTTTCCCAGCAGTGCTGGTGTAATTCCAAAGATCATTTCACTGCTAGATCTCTCATCAGTAGACAGCCCAAGTTGCTCAAGCGCCATTAAACAGAAGCCTCCACAAGAAATTCGGCTTCTAAAGCTTTCTGTATAGCTAATTATGCTTCTTCTAAACTGATAAAAACACAGAGTTAACAAGAACTATTAGCCTGCTCATCCTAGAACCAGGATTAGAATCCAAGTCTTTCTGCTTCAAATCTAATGCTTTCCATCTACATTATAGATGATCCCTTCCAGATCTAAATTATATAATCTTATGTAACAATTTAAACACAAATAGAAATTGTCTCATCCCTACCAAAACTGGTCTCTACCACCAGACCAGTGTTTTCAAATCAAGATGGTATGGAAAGGCTCTGGCCTAGATAGCAGAAGGCCCAAGTCTAAGTCCTGGCTCCACAATGAAAAGTAACTTTAGAAATCTAGGCCTGAGGTTCCTCATCTGCAAAATCTGGGACTCTGTTGATCACTTTTGTTTAACCCTTCTTAGCATCAAGACCTACCCTAAGAGTAGGGAAAAGATTGCTTCCAATCTTGTTAGTATCAAAGGAAGCTCTAGTTATAAAGAGAGAGGAGGCAAAAGCCCTGTTTTTCCTTTCCCTGTCAAGTCTCATACAACTAGACATGTTCTTTCACTCAGAACTCTGAAGCAAATGCTCCAGAAAAAATGGTAACCATGGTTTAGCAATTTTACACATGAAAAAGATCTAATGTTTTTATTTAATAAGTTCAACATGAGTCAGCAGAGCGGTGTGACTACTGAAGGCCCCAATGTCTACTCAGGCTGCACAGGTCCAGAACTGAGAAGCTAATAGTCCTTCTCAATTCTGTGCTGATCAAACCACACCTGGGTGGTCTGTGTCCAACACTAGGGGCCATTACCTAAGAAAGAGATTAACAAAAGTGTTTACAGGCAGGAAACCAAGATGAGAAGGAGGCTGAGAAAACATGTTTTCTTCAAAGAACTAGAACTATTTAACCTAGAAAAGAAAAAACTCAGGGGAGCAATCACCTTACTTCCATCCAATCTTTAAATCATCTAGGACTCAGCAGAGCTTGGACCAAAAAAGGGGCTGTCTCAAAAGGCCAGCAAGCTCCCTATCTCTGAAGCAGCAGAAACTTGGGGATAGGGGAAAGCTAGTGAGGGGAGAGGTAGGGATAGGATGGAATTCAATTACAATTCTAGTGAAGAGCAACCTCAACTCTGGAGCACCTTCCCCCGTTCCCAGCACAGTGATTATATTCATTCTTATTCAATGACCGTATGTAGAACCATTTTGATAATTCGCTCTTTACTAAACATTTTATATTCATGTCCTTTCAAGGCCAAGTTGCTGCCCATCCTCTCTCTTCTCTAAACCTGCCAGCAGCTAGGATTGACAACCAGGCTGCCTATTACCTTCTGAAGATTTCCATGCCTTCCATAGGTCCTCCACACTGATGAGCTTATCCTCACCATGGAAGGTGCTGTGTTTCACCGTTGGGTCATGGTAATTGAGGTCTTCCCTCAGGAACTGCAAGGGAAAAGCACACAAGTCACAAGAGATACCCAGAAACCAGTGATTAAGATCTCCACGTGGGTCGCCTAGCTATCCACAGGACACCCATCCACCTAATGCACAAGAGTATTACACCACTCATGTATCCTTCCATGCGCCTATGTCCTGGTTTCCAACAAGACAGCCTTTTCTTCTTTGTTATGTTTCACTTGAATAAATAAATAAATATGAGTAAGAAATTCCTTCCTCATTTTTTAATTATGGAAAGATAATAAATGATAGTTAACTAGAATTCATTAAGCAAGAAGAAGAAAGGAGAGGAAGAATTAACAATTTTTGAGCACTTATTTATACACTAAACAAGAACCTCTACAACATTTTCTCATCTAATACTCACAACCAATGAATTGTCACACTAATGTTACAAATGAGAACAGTAATATTCTCAAAAGATAAAGCAACTGGCCCCAAATCACATTAGTTTTATTTAAAAAGGTTAAATTATTTGCTGTGATGGCTTTAATATATGTCCACGATTCTTTGACGATCCCCCCACAAAAGGTAAATTCCCCTCCCCTTGAATATGGTCTGATGTTAGTGACTCATCTTCCAACAGAATGCAGCAGCAGTGATGTTGAGTGACTTCCAAAGGTAGGTTAGAAAAGGCAATATGGAGTCTACCTGGCTCTCTCCCCTTTGCGACACATGCTTTGGAAGTCCTGAGCCACCTTATAAGAAGCCTGGCTACCCTGAAGTCACCATGCTGGAGAGATCATGTGAAAAGACTATATAGAGATGGAAAGAGGTGTCTGAGCAGCCCCAGCTGTGAGACTTCCAGCCCAGGAGTCAGACATGTGAGTGACTGAGACTTCAGGCAATTCTAGCTCCCAGCTTTTGAGTCACTTCACCTGATGAGCTGTCCCTGCTGAGCCATACCCAGATTGCTGTTTTAGGCCACTAAGTTTTGGGGAAGTTTATTATACAGCACTAGATAACTGAAATGCTTGCTCAAGGTTGCAGCTGATAAGTGATAGAGGTAGTATTCCAATCCAAGATACCTGACTGCGTAGTCTAAATTTTTCCCCTGTACTACATATTCTGTCCTTTAATTATCTGCATTTCTTTCATAATATACTCTTACAAGAAAGAAGAAAAACAAAAGAAATCAAAGCTTTTAGAAATTTAACTAGTAATTAACTTCACAGATATTCAATCAGCCTGATTCTTAACCTCATTAGTACAGGATTGAACCCTGATCATTGGCTGCTTTCCATAGAGCCTCAAACATCAAAGGAATATGCAATTCTGGTCACTACTCTCACCAGAGCACATTTTAGTAGAATTTTCAGGAAATGTCCTCCTATCCATCTTGCCTTATCTCAGGGTCCAGGAAAAAAGGTCACATCCAGAGTAATGTCAGTAAATGTTGTTCACAAAATGAATAAATGACTGACATTATGGTCCCAGATTCCCTAGACCCATAATCAAAGAGTACTTGCCTCCCTTGGGTTTGCAGACATTAAGACATCTGGACTTAATGATCCAGGAGAGAAGTTTGAAGAGAGTCCACACTGGAACATTCTCAACCTAGTCAGAGCATAGGCTGCTGAGCACAAGGAACTTGACAATGACCACAACTATAACACAGCACTGTCCAATACAACTTTCTGTAATGATGGACACGTTCAACATCTGTCCTGCCCAAACAGTAGCCACTAGGTACATATGGCTATTGAGCACTCATAATGTGGCTTGTGTGACTAAAGAATAAAATTTTTTAAAAATTAATTTAGATTTAAATGGCCACATGTAGCTAATGGCTACATATTTGAATGCAGCTCTAATACATTCTAGTACCTGGAGTATAGGTATGGTCTAGCTACACTCCCACCAAGGCTAGAATGGTGTACTGAAGTCAAGACCTCTGGTTAGATGAGGCTGTAAAAGTGGTGCTCACATAAAAATGTTTAACAGCTCTTTTCGCCCTCTGGCCACAACTAAATTCAAGACCCTCTGATAGATTCTCCAGTACCCCAGTCTCTCATCTGAAATTGTTGAGAGAATCTACTTTTTAACAAGGATTAAGCAAGTGATGAAGAGCCCAAAGCCAGGAGATTTTTAACTCTTAGAAAGTAAACTAAGTATTTTTTGATTTTTCAATAGTCAGCCTTTTAGGCCAACTAACATTCAATTTATTTTATGTTATAAGTTGTGGATCTTAACATTTTCTTGCCAAGTTGCCATCCAGTTATCTCAACCCCATTCATTAAATTATCTGTCTTTCATTCCTTCTTGGAAAACATGATTTAATAATAAATTAAGTCCTTACATGTAATGGGGTATATTTCTAGGGTCTCTATTCTTGTGTACTAAACCATATTTCTATTTTTGTGCTAATACTTGACTGTTTTATTATACTCTGTATTTTATACTTTAAAAAGTTTTTTTCTAATGTTTGGACCCCTTCTTCCCATGGCTCTTCTAATTCAGAATATTTCTTCTGAATTTCAGCTGCTTATTTTTCAGAATGAATATAAAACAATTTTATTAGTTTTATTGAGAGTCTGCTTGCTCTCATTGGAGCTCTAAGTGATGAGATCACTAGACCTCACACACCAGGGAGGGTTAGAATTCCCATTTTCTCTATTGGCTCAGATCAATAAACCTTTCCTTACTCCAAACTCTGAAGTTTTAAGTTTTGGTCTTTCAAAGCTTTGGGCACACAGACTTTGAACCAGTAATGCTAACATCCTGTTTGGGTAAAAGAGACAATAATTTCTTTAAAGCAGGAAAAAAGAATAGGGAATGCCAAGAGTAGCATTATTAGTGGTTTGCCATTTTAATTATAGAAGTCAAGGAAGGTCTCATTAAGAATGTGGCTTTTAAGCAAATAACTGAAGAAAGGCAAGAGAATAACTGAAAGAAGAGTATCCCTACAATGGAGATGGTAAATGCAAAGACCCAGAGGCAAGAACAGACTTGGTTTGTTCAAAGAATAGCTAGGAGGCCTGTGTGGCCCGAAGAGAAATGAGAATAGGTGGTGAATAGTAGGAGAAGAACGCAGGGAAGCAACAGGTGTCCAGATCACAAAGGGCTCTGTAGGCCAATATAAGGACTTTGACTTTTACTCTGAGGTGGAAGCTGTTGGAGGAATTTGAATAAAGGTGCAACATGATCAAATTTACATTTTTAAAAGGATTTCTCTGAATATTGTGGGGAGAAGCAGACTATAGAAAAGCAAGGGCAGATGCAGGAAAACCAGTCAGGTGGCTATTGCAATAATCTAGGTATGAGCTAATGGTGGTTTGAAACAAGGCAGTACTGTGGGAATAATGAGGAGTTGTGAGGTTCGGGATATATTTTAAAGAGATCAAATCTATAATCCTTATAATTTCTTAGTTTTGATTCATCAGGTTCTTTAAGGTATACCCTACTTTGGTCCTCCTAGGCTCCGACCCAGACCCTCTTAATCTAAAACTAGGAAACACATATCCTATACGCAGGCCTTAGGAGCAGTAACACCAAAATCTCCAAGGAAGGGTATTTTCTGCCATTACCAACTAACTCTGGGATACATGTGAGACATATCAGCTGCTTATAGGGAACCAACAAGAAGTAGACTGCTTTTTATTGCCAAGTCTGAACACTGAGGTATATGGAGAGCAGAGAGGCTCATGGGAAGAAAATACACAGAGGATCTGCATAGAGGTTCGCATATAAGCTCTACTGGTGCCTCAGAACAAGCAAAGGAGTGCAGGGTCAGAAAACAAGGGCAGCAAGAAGATGGTGCCAAATGCGGAATGTGGGCTGACAGAAACTACATGAAGGAAAGGCCTGAGGCTGAATGGAACCTCCTTAGAGAACAAAAAAGTAAAGCTGCAATAGTCAGGCCTTAAGAGTAAGAAAAGCAATGTATTATAAAAATAAAGAATTCAGACCTATAGAACAGACCCCTTACTTCCTGTATGACTTTTGAGCAAGAATTTTACAGGTCATCACTTGTAAAATTCTTAATCTTTTAGCAGTAAATGAAATGGGATATCTCTTGTAGAGTTCTTAATCTTTTTAGTAAACCTAGTTTTCTCCTCTCTTTTCTTTAGGAAAAAGGCCCTCTCCCTCAGATCCTGATAATTGCCCCGAAACTGGTGACTCAGATCCTCTGGCTGTTGATAAGGGACTGAGGCAGTACTTCGGCAGGAAACCCAAGACTTCACCCTAACTAAGGCAGAAAGGGGAAAAGCTCCATAGAATCCCAATAAGCAGGGACAACGACCCTTCTCAGCAGAAAGCAGATACAGAAGGAGACCTCTCGACCCTCAACATCCATACTAATAATAAGGGGGTTCGTGGCTCTTAGAAAAGAAGCCAGAAAGTTAGGGGGTTTTGGGTCTGCCTGCAAAGACACTGAGGTCATCCTATCATAGAAGGGGTCTATCCTAATCCGCCCACAATTAAGCAAGCCAGAAGGCATCTTTAGGCTTAAAGTAACTCATAGAAAGAAACAAGTGAGCAGAGAATTAGGTACTAGTTTAAGCCAGTCACTCACACCTGCGCAATGAAGACCCGGTGACCTTCAACTCACCTGAGTCTTATTATACCATCATTATAATATGATGCATATACCCAGTTCATTAAGATCATTATAACAGACTGAATTCTGGAACAAACATGCACAGAAAGCAAAATGATTAATCACTGAGTCCTGTCAATCTTAGTTGTCAAACGAAGAAGCCCACCCCTCTAAGAAATGTAACCACCCACAGCAAATAGAGATGAAAACCCCAAAGGCTTTGTTTCCAGGCCTTTTGAGCCACGCATCTCTTGCTCAGGTCCACTTCCATGTCTAGAAGTGTACTTTCCCTTCTAATAAAGCTTTTCCTTTCTGCTGTATTTCGGTGTCTTGCCCAATTCTTTGTTCGAGACATCAAAAACCTGGACAATGCTCCAAGAGAAAAGCTCCACTCTCCGGTAACAAAGCTCCTTAGCCTCTCTGACCCTATTTTCCCCTCAAAATA